AGGTGTGTGTGGATGTGTGTGTGTGTGTGGCGTTTGTGTGCAGGTGATAGGTTCTCGCCTTTTTGCGTGTGATTTGATACGATGTGCATGTCCAGATGCTTCGGTGTCTTGGCTTGTTGACAATCGATGCTTTCTGTTGCGTGTCCTTACGTTTTTTTGTACGTGTTTGTCATGGTGTTGCCTGTGTTCTCTTCTACATGCCCGTCTGGGTCCTCTGTCGTTCTCTGTTCGGCCGTGAATGTTTCTTGGAACGTCTGTCTCATATGTACGCCGATTGGCCATGAAACACACCGTCTCGCACCTTGGGCAGTGACCGACCGACCCACCGTACGAAACCTACGCCATCCAAGCAGTTTACTGCTGTGAGCAGACTCACAGCTGACAGAAAACAGTAATATCGTAACGATCACAGGCAATACCTGGGTGATCATCCTCTCACCTGACGCTGCTCTGGCTACTCAAGAGGCTGACTGTCCTCTCACCTCCAAAACTCTCTAGCTATTGATCTGGCACACATACATGACAAGAATGACGAGGTAAGTCTGCTTTGTATCGTCATGCTGTGTGTTTCTCACCCGAGCTCTGTTCGCCGTTGTGCGTGAGGGGCCTTTATGAGACCTCCGACGCTGCTCCTCCTTCACACTGGGGTGGGGGCTGCATGCGCTTTTCTGGCGTCTTTTCCGTGTTTGTGTAACCCTTTTTTTCGGTCGTTTTTTATCGGTCGATTGGCAACCCCGGAAGAACCGATCGGGCGAACACACGGAAAAAAGGTAGCCTAGAGCACTCCCCCAGCTGGTGCTTTTGGGGGGGTCGAGCTGACAGGCAGCTGGTGCGGGCTTGGGTGGGGGACGCTCGGAGCGGATCTCCTCTTCGATCCTCGCCCTCTCGTCCGCACGGCTGGGGGATGGCACGTCCTCGCCCCCGTCCCGCCTCTGCTGACGCTCCTGTCGAGCCTGAGAAGGGTAACACACAGGGAGAAAGAACGTGCAGACGCCCAACCCACGTGCTGCTCAGTGGCCGCATACCTTCTCTCTTCAGCCGCCATGTCTTGTGGGCATTCAACTCGCGGACCTTTGGTGGGCCGAACGGCGGGGGGTGCCTATCGTTGAGCTGCCCGATGCCGCCTTTCACACCCGTCTTGCAGCGGTGGCTGGCCGCAGGCGCAGTCAATCCACTCCCCCCCCCTCCACGTCAATGGCCCCTGCCTCTGCGCAAACGCGGGGGTCATCCTCCGCCGTTCGTAGTCGTAGATCTCTGGACTCCACGTCCACTTCTTGAGTTTTTGATGTTCCTCGCGTGCCGTCATCGGCACATCCTCATCCTTCTGCGATGCCATCTTGTTCTTCTTCTCCTCCTTCTCCTCCTCCTTCTCCTCGTCATCATTGGCAGGTGGGCTGGCAGCGCGCCTCTTCGCTCCCTTTCCTTTCTGTTGTTTGCCCATGGCGTGGGAGCGAAGAATCAAACAAGGGGGGCGACAGATCTGCACTTCTATGAATCGCTGCCACCTGCGAGCTGCAGTCTCTGCAGCTCGCGTCTGGCGATGGATATCATTCATGTTCGAAGCACAGTGGCAAGAACATCACAAGCTCCGCCACCTAACAACGTGAATGCAGCGTTGCACTGAAAAAAACCTTCGCATGCCCTCGGCCAGGCCCGATTTCGATCAGCTTTCAAGGCATGATTCAAAAAATCTGCTGGATTTTGGCTTCGATTTCGATCAGTTCTTCCCACATGATGGCTGAAAATTTGAAAAAATCGGCTTCATTCGATCGATTTTTACAATATGTCCTTTCACTCTATGTCCCCCGCCGTGGGATGGCCGCCGGGCAGCTCACCCAACGGCACCACACGAAACAACTCATAGCCGATCCGATGGCTCTCATTGTTGTCGGCTGGCTGCAGCGCCAGGCTGTCTGTGTGGTGTGTGAGCTGCTGGCCGATGATCTTGTAGAGGGCCATAATGAGTGGCAGCTGATAAAAGGCTGTTGCTGTGGGCAGCGCGTCAGCCGACAGACGGAGGGGCCGCATCGCATCAGCAGGGGTGAGCCGGTAGATGAAGGCCAGCCGAAGGAATCGTCCCATCGCCCGCCACTCCTCGCCACTGCCCCGCTCCAGCGCGTAGACCACCTTCAAGCCGGCCTCCACATCACCGCCACTGTCGAAGGCCAACACGTCCGCCAGGCCGAGATGACTGAGGGCCTTGCCAATGTGCTGCTCGACGAGCATCAGGATCTCGGCCACTTCGCCGGCATTGCTGCCATTGATTTGTGAGTGGAGTGCGGCGCGTCTGTTGGGGTCAACGGACATG